CAACGCACCTGCAGAGAACATTAGAGCAACTTGCCAAAGCTCCTTTTACACTGACCTCTGCTACCTCAAAGTTTAAGGACAACAGGTGTACTGGAAGGACTGCACCTCTGGCTTCCCCACCAAGTTGCACTTCGTTGATACTTGGAACTACATCACTGGTCCTTCATTGTTGCTGGGTCAAAGTTCTGAACACCCAGCTTGATAGTACTGCAGAATTATCTTCACACATTAGTTCAATTTGCAATGAGAGAAATTTGCTAATGCTCTTTGGGAGGGTTTAAACTAATTCAGCAGGGGGATGGGAACCTGAATTGTAGCTCCAGTGTACAGGAGGTTGAGAGTAGTGAGGTCACAAATAAGGTTTCAAGGTCGCAGGAGTGTACCAGCAGGCAGGAGGGTGGTTTGAAGTGTGTCTACTTCAATGCCAGGAGCATCCGGAATAAGGTGGGTGAACTTGCAGCATGGGTTGGTACCTGGGACTTCAATGTTGTGGCCATTTCGGAGACATGGATAGAGCAGGGACAGGGAATGGTTGTTGCAGGTTCCGGGGTTTAGATGTTTCAGTAAGATCAGGGAAGGTGGTAATAGAGGGGGAGGTGTGGCATTGTTAGTCAAGGTCAGTATTATGGTGGCAGAAAGGACGTTTGATGAGAACTCGTCTACTGAGGTAGTATGGGCTGAGGTTAGAACAAGGAAAGAAGAGGTCACCCTGTTGGGAGTTTTCTATAGGCCTCTGAAAAGTTCCAGAGATGTAGAGGAAAAGATTGCAAAGATGATTCTGGATGGGAGCGAAAGTAACAGGGTAGTTGTTATGGGGGACTTTAACTTTACAAATATTGACTGGAAACGCTATAGTTCGAGTACTTCAGATGGGTCAGTTTTTGTCCAATGTGTGCAGGAGGGTTTCCTGACACAGTATGTGGATAGGCCAACAAGAGGCGAGGCCACATTGGATTTGGTACTGGGTAATGAACCAGGCCAGATGTTAGATTTGGAGGTAGGTGAGCACTTTGGTGATAGTGACCACAATTCGGTTACGTTTACTTTAGCGATGGAAAGGGATAGGTATATACTGCAGGGCAAGAGTTATAGCTGGGGGAAAGGCAATTATGAGGCGATTAGGCAAGATTTAGGATGCATAGGATGGAGAAGGAAACTGCAGGGGCTGGGCACAATTGAAATGTGGAGCTTGTTCTAGGAACAGCTACTGCGTGTCCTTGAGAAGTATGTACCTGTCAGGCAGGGAGGAAGTGGTCGAGCGAGGGAACCATGGTTTACTAAAGAAGTTGAATCTCTTGTCAAGAGGAAGAAGGAGGCTTATGTAGAGATGAGGCGTGAAGGCTCAGTTAGGGTGCTTGAGAGTTACAAGTTAGCCAGGAAGGACCTAAAGAGAGAGCTAAGAAGAGCCAAGAGGGGACATGAGAAGTCTTTAGCAGGGAGGATCAAGGAAAACCCTAAAGCTTTCTATAGGTATGTCAGGAATAAAAGAATGACTAGAGTAAGATTAGGGCAGGTCAAGGACAGTAGTGGGAAGTTGTGCGTGGAATCCGAAGAGATAGGAGAGGTGCTAAATGAATATTTTTCGTCAGTATTCACACAGGAAAAAGACAATGTTGTCGAGGAGAATACTGAGATACAGTCTATTAGACTAGACGAGATTGAGGTTCATTAGGGAGGTGTTAGCAATTCTGGAAGGTGTGAAAATAGATAAGTCCCCTGGGCCGGATGGGATTTATTTTAGGATTCTCTGGGAAGCTAGAGAGGAGATTGCAGAGCCTTTGGCTTTGATCTTTATGTCGTCATTGTCTTCAGGAATAGTGCCAGAAGACTGGAGACTAGCAAATGTTGTCCCCTTGTTCAAGAAGGGGAGTAGAGACAACCCTGGTAATTATAGACCAGTGAGCCTTACTTTGGTTGTGGGTAAAGTGTTGGAAAGGATTATAAGAGATAGGATTTATAATCATCTAGAAAGGAATAATTTGATTAGGGATAGTCAACACGGTTTTGTGAAGGGTAGGTCGTGCCTCACAAACCTTATTGAGTTCTTTGAGAAGGTGACCAAACAGGTGGATGAGGGTAAAGCGGTTGATGTGGTGTATATGGATTTCAGTAAAGCGTTTGATAAGGTTCCCCATGGTAGGCTATTGCAGAAAATATAGAGGCATGGGATTGAGGGTGATTTAGCGGTTTGGATCAGAAATTGGCTAGCTGTAAAAAGACAGAGGGTGGTGGTTGATGGGAAATGTTCATCCTGGAGTTCAGTTACCAGTGGTGTACCTCAAGGATCTGTTTTGGGGCCACTGCTGTTTGTCATTTTTATAAATGACCTGGATGAGGGCGTAGAAGGATGGGTTAGTAAATTTGCGGATGACACCAAAGTCGGTGGAGTTGTGGATAGTGCGGAAGGATGTTGCAGGTTACAGAGGGACATAGATAAGCTGCAGAGCTGGGCTGAGAGGTGGCAAATGGGGGTTAATGCGGAAAAGTGTGAGGTGATTCACTTTGGAAGGAGTAACAGGAATACAGAGTACTGGGCTAATGGTAAGATTCTTGGTAGTGTGGATGAGCAGAGAGATCTCGGTGTCCATGTGCATAGATCACTGAAAGTTGCCACCCAGGTTGATAGCGTTGTTAAGAAGGCGTACGGTATGTTAGGTTTTATTGGTAGAGGGATTGAGTTTCGGAGCCATGAGGTCACGTTGCAGCTGTACAAAACTCTGGTGCGGCCGCACTTGGAGTATTGCGTACAGTTCTGGTCACCGCATTATAGGAAGGATGTGGAAGCATTGGAAAGGGTGCAGAGGAGATTTACCAGGATGTTGCCTGGTATGGAGGGAAGGTCTTATGAGGAAAGGCTGAGGGTCTTGAGGCAGGTTTCATTAGAGAGAAGAAGGTTAAGAGGTGACTTGATAGAGACATACAAGATGATCAGAGGATTAGATAGGGTGGACAGTGGGAGCCTTTTTCCTTGGATGGTGGTGGCTAGCACGAGGGGACATAGCTTTAAATTGAGGGGTGATAGACATAGGACAGATGTCAGAGATAGGTTCTTTACTCAGAGAGTAGTAAGGGCGTGGAATGCCCTGCCTGCAAAAGTAGTAGACTCGCCAACTTTAAGGGCATTTAAATGGTCATCAGATAAACATATGGATGATAATGGAATAGTTTAGGTTCGATGGGCTTCAGATTGGTTTCACAGGTCGGCGCAACATCGAGGGCCGAAGGGCCTGTACTGCGCTGTAATGTTCTATGTTCTATGTTCTAAGAAGTTGTCTCCCTACCAAATTCTTGATTGCAATTAAGGATGTGCAATTAGTATTGGTTTTGTCAATAACATTGCCCCTTGTGGAGTAAAATCAACTTAAAGCAATGTGAAATTTAAATTCTGTAAGTGATTGTCAAACTAAAATGCTATGAGACCTTGCTCACAGCGTTAAAATCCTTCGGTTTACAAGTTGAATCACTGGAGAGCATTGTATACCTACTTAACTTGAAATCTTTAGAAAGGAACATGGAAGGAGCAGTAAGCCAAGGCTGTTCTGCCATCTAATTAGATCCTTCATCATCAGTATTCTAAATCTTGGTTTGTTACCATAAACCTTAATTTCTTAAAAACCTAAATCAGTGTCAGTGACTTTTTGAGGTTTGGACAGTGTCACGGGAGGTGCAGATTGTTCTAAGTTTTAATGATTCCTTGCATGCAGAGGGGATTTCTCACAGTACTACTCTTAAGGTAATTATAATCACTGGTCTGGAGTTTAGCTGTGAAATTTTCTTTCTAGGTGTCCTGTAAACTCTTTTGATCATTTGAAACTTCAGTTAGTTGCTTCCTTGATTTTCTATAGTCAAGGAAATGCAACCTAGTCTATACAGCATTCCCTACGCATTTAATTGTTTCAGAAATAATACCAGACTGTGTCTTATTCTGGAGAAGTTGTGCTATACACACAAAAGTACGCTACAAATATGAATTCAGCGTTCCAAATGCATTTAATCAGAGTTTTATACAGCTTTAACATAACTTTGGTCTCTAAATTTAGATTTCTATTGTTAGGAGACAACTGTGCTTAGGTATATAGTGCTCTCTGTTAAGCAAGTCAGTTAAGATTGCAGCCAGGCAGGAATCAAGCACTGAAGATGAGGTTTTCCTAATGGCTCCAAGCTGCACCGACTGGTGTCAGGCCAGTGGCTGCTGCATTTATACACTAAATTGTTGCATCTGGAGCATCTTCAATTGGGTGGCTACGATCATCTCATCCACCATTAGTCACCAACATTACCATGCCCCCAAGGTGATCTTTGGCAAATTTGAGAAAGGACTGTGTTGATTCCTCATTGACTGGAGATATTGATGGGACACACTGCAACTCCACAGTTAGTGAAGGCTGTGATTTGAACTGTGGATTCTTCATGGAAAGTTCATGACTGAAGCATTAGTGTGATGAAGCACGTATTTTCTTTGTGAACAACCTTTTGGTAATAAGGCCATGTTTATTGACACTGCATACATGCACACTAGGCACCACTGAAATTCACATACTTGTGAACACATGAACACACACAAGGCTTGGCTTTAAACTTAGTGTAGCTGTGAAGAGGGGAGAAGGGGTCGGCTTTGCAGAGGAATGGGGGTAGTGGGGCAGTTCTGTGAAGGGCTAAGGGTTGGGTAAAGCAGAAACTGTGGTCCTATCTTCTTACCCGAACAATACTCTTAATCATCTTCACTGCAACACTACCCTCCCTGTTATCTTAGGCATCCTCCTGCCACACACCCCAAGCCCCCTTCATCCCGACCTCGCTCTCTGACCTTCTGCCCCTGACCTTGTGCAAATGCTACTACTCTGTGTCTGATGTCATTGGAATTGTAATCGTGAGGCATTTTTGGAATTGTGCGTACTTCTGGATTGCAATGCATGCACAGTTGCAAGCAATGTTCGGTGTCAGCAAACTTTGGCTATTAGTAATTAGTATTTATTTGCATACTTTTTTATTTTGTCTAGGTCACTGTTTTCCACTGACATAACATGGCCAGTGTTGCGAAAAGACTGCAATTTCTCAAGAATTTGGCCTTTCAACTGAAGGAAACGTGTCCAGCGGAAGCACGCTACCTTTTGTAAGTAACATATGATTGAATAATTTTAACCAACTTTTTTCACTGCTGTTGCGGCCATGTTAATGATCAATTGAATTTAAGAATATAGTGTGGAGATTATATCCTGCCAAACTGACACTTTATATAGATCAACTTATGGGAATGACCAGGTAATTTGCAAATCTAGATATTTAGTATAGTTTTGCATCTGACTGGTTGTGTCATTTTATTCATAACAACCTCTCTTTAAACTGCCAAAATATTAAATACTTTCAAATATGAATAGAAACTGATTTGTATTGGCTTTCAATGATTTTGATGTAATAACTCTATTTCCCTGTTTCGATCCTTTATTTGTAATAATTTTTTTTTAGTAATTGTGGATCAAGAGAAACATGTTTGTAATAATCACCATTTAAAACAAAAGGAAAAAATAGTTTTAAACAACCTCTGTCAAGAGAACAGTGGAAAGAAACAACTTCCTCCACTTCTATTTTCAGGATCTCTCTTACTTTGATCATGATTATGTCAGTGCTTCACACCGTTACCTCTATTAATGCATTTAGCTGTAGCATATTTTAAAATGCTACTACTTTATACGTGAATGTTGGAGGCCGGGTACAGAGAATTTTTTTAATCAGACATGAAGGGGATGGTTTGGATTGACAGGGGATCCTAGGTTTGAGTGAACCCTCAGGAATGACCTCTGTCAGTTTCAATTAGCTGAGGCTGTGGGAAAAATAAACAGTCTTGCAAATTAGGGAATCATAGAAATTGAAAAGCTCAAAGACTCCTTTGGGGATTGGAAGAAAGTGCTATTCCATCATTGATTCATAGTTCTTCACTCTCAGATGGATTTATTACAAGGTGCTGGGCAGCTGAAGAAGTGCCTTTTTTGGCAAATTGGAGTTAATGAATGCGCAATATTACTTTTCAAACTTTTCAAAACAAAAGGAAATCTTGTGAAGTAGCTGTGGTTGGTCAGTCCTGTTTGGATTAATTGTAATTCCCAGTCTGCAGTATCCTTTGTAAAGGAATTAGATCACTGAAATCTTGGCTCCATTACGCCTTTCTAAACCAGTACTTCCCAATTTTTTCCTATTGTGATCCAGTTTGGGCTTGGAAATTGTCATGATCCTGTTTTTTGGCCAATCTTGCTTTAAGCCAAAATATTTCTAGTGGAATTTGTCGGGTTTGGGTTATGCACAAATTTCTTTTATTCTGTCCGACAGTAATGCAAACTTTATCCTGCAGTGATGTAGCTGACTTAATTTTTGAGTTCTAATGTGCATATATGGGCAGAGGGGTAATGATGTCCAAGAATGGTCACTACTGTGAAAGAACAGCAGGAGTGTGTCAGTATTTGCAGAAGGGTCTCAAATATGTGTCCATATTACAGATGTCTTTGGGAAGCATGCCAACATGTCCAGGAGTTTGGCTGGAATGTGCCAGTATTTTCGGGTGACTCCAGTAGTACATCAATAGATGTTGAGATTTCAGAGTGTATTGATTACATGAAGGGAATTCCTCCATGCCAAAGTTTGAAAACCAATGTTAAAAGTAAATCCAGTGTTTTAATCAAAACTTATTTCTCTAACAGTATTATGCCTTCAAATATAGAAATGTTAGCAGTCATAGCACATGTTGGTGTTGCTGTATTAAATCATCTTGCATTATATTGTTTCAAAATAATCCCCAGGGAGCAATTGAGTGTAGGTCGGAGCAATATATTTTAAATATTACAGCAACAAATTAGTTTATTCTGGTCATGCCAGATTTGTCTTGTTGATGCTGTAGGTTGGACTTAGAATTATTCAAGCTAACCTCCATTCGTGGCAGTAGACCTTACCATTTAATGTACAATAAATAGTGTTGTATTACTGGGCTATATGCATTAGATTAAAACTCAGCCCATCAACATGTTAAGCTTAATGGTGCTACTTGTGGCTAACTGTGCTGCCACAACTGTACCAGTACTTTGCATCCAACATCAAAGAATTTGTTCTCTTTTTGAAGTAATGTTTCTTCTGCCTATTATAGTATGAAGGGAGTATTACCAAAAGCAAAAGAAAATTTAATATAGGTTACTCAGATGTTAGAGTTTTAGTAATCTGCTATTCAACATTTATGTCTTAAGCTTTTCTGTGATTTGTTTTGTGAAATTGTATTGTTATCCATGTACAACGTAATCTTAAAAAGATAGAGGAGCAAAATACTGCAGAAGCTGTAAATTCAAAGTAAAAGCATGAGGTAAGAGAAACAAAGTTGGTATTTCAGGTTGACCCTTTATCAGACATTTGTGTAGATGCAGTTAGATCTGAGTTTTCCACCATTTTCTGTTTGTTTATAAAAATTTGTGGGTTTAAATAATTTTTGATTGTTTGTTGCTTTTTCTGTTTCAGATGGACATGTCAGTCTATAACAGGTCAGTATAAAACACTCTGCTGTTTCATTGTTTGGATCAAAATGCAAATTTTGGACCAAATTTTACAATGTCTTTTCTTTGCAGGTGTGAAGGTTAATCCAGAAGGAGTATGTAGCCATTGCTTCGAGTGCTTCCTCCCTGGAAACCACAGAGTTCGACTGAAATCCAAAAGGAGGATGACTGTGCAAATTAAAAAGCTACTGCAACGTGAAGCAGCCAATTGGAAACTTAACCTCAAACAAGTGCGACAACTGCAGAAATATAGAAACTCGAGGAGTACCTTGGTAAGGTTTGACACAATCTTGTCGATGTTGAGGAAAAGCTGCTACAATATTTACCCTCTTTTATCTCCATTTTCATTATATGCTCTGAGCACGAACATCTTCGAGCAAACTGTACCCTCCAAATTAGACCAACTTGGACTTGTTTGTTTATACCATGCAACATGTAAATTAGGGACACCAGGTGTCCTTGTTTTCAAAATGATCATTGTGTAGTTTGTTGAATGAGCCAAATATCCTGGGACTTTGTTTCTCCTGCAGCATATTTTTTGCTTTCATCTGGAGTTGGGCCTCATTCTGACTGCTGCCAGTAGAATATTTTTTAAGTTTGTTTGTCGGGCTTCCCAGACTACCATCCCCAGAGTCCTTTTCCTTTGAGGGAAGGATGTATTAATTCTGGAATCTGGTAAGTTGACAGCCTGCAGAGCACGAGACGACCCCCATGTTCCAAAAAGTTTCCAGCTAAGTTGAAGGAAGAATTAATAACGTTGCGACCAGTACTCTTCATACCAATAACCTGCAGCTGCTATTGTTTGAAGTACTGGGGCTGGGAAAGGGGCTGTCTGCATCTGACATTCTGGTTAGGTAGGTTTGCTAACTTTGGGGCATTTCTGGAGCTTCTAACCATGACATGCAACCATGATATCAGATAACATTACATAATCACAACATCTGGGCACACAACTTTGGTAGTGTGTATAGTTCCAGTACCATGTTTTGGAAAGAGTTTGCTGTAGGTTTACTAGAATGCTATCAGGGCTCCTGGGCTTAGATTTTGAAGAGAGATTAGATTATTTAGTCCTGTATGCCTTTTGAATGTAGAAGTTTTAAGTGGCCCAGCAGCAAAGTTGAAATCCGTGAAATACAATAGTGGTGGCACAGATATGAAATTGCCTGAGTGAGATGGGAGATCAAGACCAAGAAATGGATGATGATTTATAATAAAGTGCGAGTTCAGCCTCAGTTGGAGTCTTCTGCCCAGTTCTGGATCCCACATTTTAGATAGAATGTGAAGGCTTTGGAGATGGTGCAAAAAGTATTTGGTAAATAGTTCCAGAAATGAAGGATTTGTGTTGGGGTATCTGCAGTGGTGGTTCTTAGAAAGAGAAGATTGAGAGGCTTGATAGAGGTAGTCACAATCATGGTATCATAAGAACTAGGAGCAGGAGTAGGCCGTCTGGCCCTTCAAGCCTGCTCCGCCATTCAATAAGATCATGGCTGATCTTTTCGTGGACTCAGATCCACTTACCCGCGTTCTCACCGTATCCCTTAATTCCTTTATTGTTCAAAAAAAATCTTTTTTTTTAAAACCGTTTACTGAAGGAGCGTCAACTACTTCACTGGGCAAGGAATTCCATAGATTAACAACCCTCTGGGTGAAGAAATTCCTTCTCAATTCAGTCCTAAATCTGCTCCCTCTAATCTTGAGGCTATGCCCTTTTGTCCTAGCTTCACCTGCCAGTGGAAACATCCCCTCTACTTCTATCTTATCTATTCCCTTCATAATTTTATATGTTTCTATAAGATCCCTCCTCAATCTTCTGAATTCCAATGAATATAATCCTAATCTACTCAGTCTCTCCTCATAAGCCAACCCCCTCAACTCCAAAATCAACCTAGTGAACCTCCTTTGCACCCCCTCCAGTGCCAATACATCCTTTCTCAAGTAAGGAGACCAAAACTGCACACAGTACTCCAGGTGTGGCCTCACCAGCATCTTGTACAGCTGCAACATAACCTCTCTGCTTTTAATTTCAATCCCTTTAGCAATGAAGGACAAAATTCCATTTGCCTTCCTAATTACTTGTTGTACCTGCAGATCTACCTTCTGTGATTCATGCACAAGGACACCCAGGTCCCTCTGCATAGCAGCATGCTGCAACTTTTTACCATTCAAGTAATAATCCTTTTTACTATTACTCCTACCAAAATGTATGACTTCACATTTATTTACATTGTATTCTATCTGCCAGACCTTTGCCCACTCACTCAATGTATCTATGTTCCTCTGCAGAGTTTCACAGTCCTCTGCACACTTTGCTCTGCCACTCATCTTAGTGTCATCTGCAAACTTTGACACCCTACACGTGGTCCCCAACTCCAAATCATCTATATAAATTGTAAATAATTGCGGTCCCAACACCGATCCCTGAGGCACACCACTAGTCACTGACTGCCAGCTAGAATAGCACTCATTTATCCCCACTCTTTGCTTCCTGTTAGTCAACCAATCCTCTATCCATGCTAATACTTTACCCTTAATGCCATGCATCCTTATCTTATGCAGTAGCCTCTTGTGCGGCACCTTGTCAAAGGCCTTTTGGAAATCTAGGTACACCACATCCACTGGGTCCCCATTGTCCACCTCGCTCATAATGTCTTCATAGAATTCCAAAACATTTGTGAAGCATGACCTGCCCTTCATGAACCCATGCTGCGTCTGTCCAACGGGACAATTTCTGTCAAGATGCCTTGCTATTTCTTCCTTGATATTAGACTCAAGCATCTTCCCCACTACAGAGGTTAAGCTAACTGGTCTATAATTCCCCATCTTTTGTCTACTTCCCTTTTTAAACAGTGGCGTCACATTTGCTGTTTTCCAATCTGCTGGGACTGCCCCAGAGTCCAGCGAATTTTGGAAAATTACCGCCAGTGCACCTGCTATTTCTCCCGCCATCTCTTTTAGTACCCTGGGATGCATTCCGTCAGGGCCAGGAGACTTATCAATCCTTAGCTCCACTAGCTTGCCCAACACTACCTCTTCCGTAATAATGATTGTTTCCAGGTCCTCACCTACCTTCGTCTCTTTGTCAATTACTGGCATGTTATTAGTGTCCTCCACTGTGAAGACCGATACAAAATACCTGTTCAATGCCTCGGCCATTTCATCATATCCCATAACTAAATTCCCCTTCTCGTGCTCTAAAGGGCCAACGTTTACTTTAGCCACTCTTTTTCGTTTTATATATTTATAGAAACAATAGTATCACAATAGTATATGGAGAGAAATTATTCCTATTGGTAGAAGCATTGAGAACCAGAGTGTCAATTTAAACTGAGACTCATAGAGATATACAGCATGGAACCAGACCTTTTGGTCCAACTTGTCCATGCCGCCCAGATATCCTGTATAAAGCTAGTCCCATTTGCCAGCATTTGGCCCATATCCCTCTTAACCCTTCCTATTCATATACCCATCCAGATACTTTTTAAATGTTCTAATTGTACCAGCCTCCACCACTTCCTCTGGCAGCTCATTCCATAAACACACCATCCTCTGTGTGAAAAAAGTTGCTCCTTAGGTCTCTTAAATCTTTCCCCTCTCACCTTAAACCTATGCTGTCTACTTCTGGACACCTCCACCCTGGAAAAAAACCTTGCCTATTTACCCTAACCATGCCCGTCATGATTTTATAAACCTGTATAAGGTCACCCCACAGCCTCTGACGCTCTCAGAAAAATAGCTCCAGCCTATTCAGCCTCTACGTAAAGCTCAAACCCTTCGACCCTGGCTGACTGACAAAAAATATTTACGGCAACATGAAGAAAAAGCTATTACATAATTTGTTTAGTTCTATTATGCCCTGCCTGAGAAGTGGTTTTTAAAAAGAGAATTGGATAAACACCTGAACAAAACAAAATTTGAAAGACTGAGAGGGAGTAGGTCTAGCTGAGTTGCTTTTACAAAGAGCTAGCATCAATACATGATTGAACAAATATTCTCCTGTGTTGTAACAAATCTATAATACATTGCTTAGTCTCGTGCATTAAATACTCCTTGTTGTAACATGCACACAGATCCTTGGCCACAAAAAAAGGTGATTCCCAACTTAGGTAGAGTTACAAGGTATAACAATTTAAACAAATACTGAAGGAACAGGTAAATATTCACATATATATAAAACAAAAACATTTTGAGAGCTTGTATTTCCCCAGAAGCAATTTTTTGACAGTATTACTTGCACAGTGTAAACAAACCATTAATTTGTCTTAACTTCAGTGGTAATCATCAAATTTTGCTTATCTTGGATAGGGAAAATATAACATATACTGATCTTTACAAATCCTTCCACCCGATCACAGATTTCGACCATCATAAGTAAAATTAGTCATTATGTATCAAAAATTCACCAAATTACCCATCTCACCCCAGCCTTCCTTGTGCTGCCTGTCACCCCATGATGCTATATATTTCATCAGACTTCATCATTTTGAATTCTAGATGCATCTTCACCTATAACTCACAGCACCAGACTTGCATACATACTCTAATCAATTATAGCCTTACTAAAATGAAGTTCCACACAAAAAAAACACACTCTGTATATTACTATCTTTGATATTTGTCAAGGGGATATAAACACAAACATTTTGAGAATCTCTTAAAAACAGCAGCTCCATTCCCTGTGGCCTTACCATTAAGTGCATAGGTCCTGGCCTGATTTGCCCTACCACAATGCAGCACCTCACATTTATCTAAATTAAACTCCATCTGCTACTCTTCAGTCCATTGGTCCATCTGATAAAGATCCTGTTGTACTCTGAGGTAACCTTATTTGCTGCCCACTACACCAGCAATTTTGGAGTCATCTGCAAGCTTACTAACCATATCTCTTTGTTCACATCCAAATCATTTTGTTTCAATGACAAAAAGTAGTAGACCCAGCACTGATCCTTGCGGCACAGCGCTGGCCACAGGCCTCCAGTCTAAAAATAACCCTCCATCACCGTCTCCTACCTTTTGTGTCAATTTTGTATTCAAATGGCTAGCTTTCCCTGTACTCCATGTGATTTAACCTTGCTAACCACTCTACCATGTGGAACCTTGTCAAACGCTTTACTGAAGTCCATATAGACGAGGTCCACTGCTCTGTGTTCATCAATCTTCTTCACTTAGAGTCATAGAGCTGTACAGCATGGAAACAGAACCTTTGGTCCAACTCATCCATGCCGACCAGGTATCCTAAATTCATCTAGTCCCATTTGGCCTATATCCCTCTAAATGCTTCCTATTCATGTACCTATCCAGATACCAAAAATGTTGTATTGTACAAGCCTCCACCACTTCATCTGGCAGCTCATAAGACACAGAAGCAGAAATTTGGCTCATCAAGTCTGCTCCGCCATTCGATCATGGCTGATAAAGTTTCTCAACTCCATCCTCCTGCCTTCTCCCTGTATCCTTTGACCCCTTAACAATCAAGAATCCATCTATCTCTGCCACAGAAGGCTGTGGAGGCCAGGTCACGGCGTATATTTAAGACAATGAATTCCATTAGATTCACCACTCTCTGACTGAAGAAGTTTCTCCTCATCTCTATTCAAAAGGGTCTTCTCTTTACTGTAAGACTGTGCCCTGGGGTCCTAGTCTGTCTTGCCAATGGAAACATCTTTGCAATGCCCACTCTATCCAGGCCTTTCAATATTATGTAAGTTTTTCGATTAGATACCCCCCCCCATCCTTCTAAACTCCATCGATTATAGACCCGGAGTCTTCAAACACTCCTCATGTAAAGGCTTTCATTCCCGAGATCGTTCCTGTGAACCTCCTCTGGACCCGTTCCAGGGCCAGTACATCCTTCTTGAGGATATGGGGCCCAAATTGCTCTGAATGTTTAAATGTTGTCTGACCAGAGCCTTTTAAAGCCTCAAAAGTACATCCCTTCTTTTATATTTTTAGTCCTTTCGAAATAAATGCCAACATTGCATTTGCCTTCCTAACTATTGCCTCAACCTGCAAGTTTACCTTGAGAGAATCATTCACTAAGACTCCCAAGTCCCTTTGCACTTCAGATTTCTGAGATTTCTCCCCATTTAGAATATAGTCCGTGCCTCTAATCTTCCTATCTCTCTCTTTCCCAAGTTTTATTCCATCAGTTCATTCCATACATGCACCTCCTTCTGATCTTCAAAAAGTTCAAGTTAGTGAGACATAATTTCCCACGCACAATGCCATGCTGACTATCCCTAATCAGTGCTTGCCTTTCCAAATACGTGTACATCCTGTCCCTCAAAATCCCCTCCAACAACTTACACACCACTGACGTCAGGCTCACTGGTCTATAGTTCCCGGGCTTTTCGTTACCACCTTTCTTAAATAGTGGCATCACATTAGCCAACCTCTAGTCACCCGTGGCTATCAATGATACAAATATCTCAGCTGGGGCCCTGCAATCACTTCCCTAGCTTCCCACAAAGTTCTGGGGTACACCTGATCTGGTCCGGGGATTTATCCACCTTTATGTATTTTAAGACACCCAGCACCACCGCCACCTCTGTAACATGGACACTTTTCTTAGTATCACTATTTATTTATCCAAGTTCTCTAGCTTTCATATCCTTCTGCATAGTATTTTGCATCAATGTTTACTTATTTAGCATTTCACCCATCTCCTGTGGTTCCATGTGTATGCGGCCTTCCTCATCTTTAAGGGGCCCTGTTCTCTTCCTAGTTACTCTTGTCCTTAATATATTTGTACAGTCTCTTTGGATTCTCATCAGCGCTACTTGCAAATACTATCTTGTGTCCCCTTTTCGTCCTCACGATTTCCCTCTGTTCTTGTACAGCTCTCGGGATTCACTTGATCCTTGCTGTCTATACCTGACACATAGTTTCTCCTTTTTTTTTCTTGACCAGAGCCTAAATTTCTCTAGTCATCCAGCATTTCCTACCCCTTACCAGCTTTACCCTTCACCTAATAGTAACACTGTTTCAGGACTCTTGTTATCTGATTTTTGAAGGCTTCCCATTTTCCAACTGTCCCTTTTTACCTGTGAATATCTGCTCCCATTCAACTTTTGGAAGTTCTTGCCTGATACCGTCAAAATTGGCTTCCTCCAATTTAGAACTATAACTTTTAGATCCAGTCTATCCTTTTCCATCTATTTTAAACTAATAGAATTATTGTCACTGTCCCCAAAGTGCTCCCCCACTGACACCTCAGTCACTTGTCCTACCTTATTTCCCAAGAGTAGGTCAAGTTTTGCACCTTCTTTAGTAGGTACATCCCCATACTGAATCAGAAAGTTTTCTTGTACACACTTAACAAATTCCTCTCCATCCAAGCCCTTAACATTATGGCAGCCCCAGTCTATGTTTGGAAAGTTAAAATCCCCTACCATAACCACCTATTATTCTTTCTTGTAACTGAGATCCACTTACAAATTTGTTACTCAATTTCCCCCTGCCTAATAGGGTCTATAGCACAATCCCAATAAGGTGATCATCCCTTTTCTTGTTTCTCAGTTCCATCCAAATCCACACCCCTGGACGTACTCCCAGGAATATCTTCCCTAAGTACAGCCGTAATGTTATCCCTAACCAAAAACGCCAGTCCACTTCCTCTTTTGCAACCTCCCTCCCGCCAACCCTTCTATCCATCTTTATAACATCTATACCCTGGAACATTAAGCTGCTAGACCTGTCTATCCCTGAGTCACATTTCAGCACAAGTTATACCCCAGTCCCATGTTCCCAACCATGCCCTGAGTTCACCTGCCTTACCTATCAGGTCTCTTGCATTGAAATAAATGCAGTTTAATTTATCAGCCTCACCTCATTCTCTACCTTGTTCCTGCCTGCCTTGACTGTTTACTTGCTCCTTTTCTCAACTGCACCAGCCTCAGACTGAACTTTTCTACGATTTATCTCTTTGGATCCCAAACCAGCATGCCCCACCCTTACTAGTTTAAATCTCCAAAGTAGCTCGAACATATCTCCCAGCCAATATATTATTCCTCTTCCAATTTAGGTGCAATCCATCCTTATACAGGCCACTTCCACCCCAGAACAGATTCCATTGATCCAAAAATGTGAATCCTTCTCCCCTGCACCAGCTCCTCAGCTATGCATTCATCTGCTCTTTTCCTCCTATTCCTACTCGTACGAACACGTGGCACCAAGAGTAATACAGATATTACTACCCTCTAGGACCTACTTTTTAACCTCCTGCCTAATTTCCTACATATGTTGAAGGCTTTGCTTCATTTGGTACAGCCCTTTCTGATTTTTCAGAAGAGTCTAAAGATGGCTAAGATAAGGATATTTTTTTCCCCAGCCTATCTTGTTTAAATTGAGAGGTCCATCTAGGGATATCAAAGTGGAGGGGGATTGAATGGTTAACAAAGAAAACCACCATATGAAGATTACTATTTAGGGATCTTGGCTATGTCAGATTACTTTGCAGATTAGTGCATGCAGCAGATGGAACTTTCTGACATCTGAGCAGCACAATTCGGCTCAACTGTAAATTTACAGCATGTCAAGTAACTGTTCACTTTTACATACTGCTCGATAAATCACTTTAAAGCTTATAGCCAATACTATGGCCTAATGAGAATTTACTTTACCTACCAGAGTCAAGAGATGAAGTGTAACCATCAAAGTCTAATGACTTCTCTCCAACCACTCTGAATATTAGTTAAACACAAAGACATTGTGGCTCATTTGGTCATCTCCCCTAATATTTCATAGTTAGGTGTCATATTTTGTTTTATACTATTTTATGAAGCATTGTGGGCCATCTTATTACATTAAAGGCACTTTGTAATATAAGTTAGATGCTGGCTTACCTGTGTAGGGGCTTGTGACACACTGAATCATAGAATCCCTACGGTGTGACTTTCAGCTCATTGAGTCCACATTGACCCTCCAAAGGGTGTCCTGCTCAGACCCACATCCCTACCCTATCCCCGTAACCTTGCATATCTCCTAGCTGATCCATGTAACCTGCACAACTTTGGACTGTGGG